TGAGAGCGACTCTAAGAATAGAATAGCTAAGAAAAGTTTAAAAGAACTAAAATCGAGAATATTTGCTAAAATCACCTCACGTATATAGTGTGACAGTTCTCTGTTTATAATGAAATAAATTACAATGATATAGAAATAGTAATAAATGGAAAGATAAGGATGGGTAATGGAAGACAAATATCTAGTTACTTGCCTTCAATAAAAGATCAAATATGATATATATGGTAAACTATAATTCAGTACTAAATATTCTTAACCAACTCCCCGGAAGCTGAGCGTCGGATTTGAAAAATTCAAAGAGAGGTCGAGAAACACTTTTTCGTAAAGATGTCAACAACCTGGTTCAGAGGAGGTGTAGAGAAACACTTTCTTGGCCATTGAAAATTGTAGAAGGATCTTCGTTCAGTGGCAATGCTGCCTTGGTTTTAGCGAGAATATGTCTAACCCATGAAGAGGGATCGTCGCTAGCGGCGATACTGCCTTGGCTCTTGTGAAAATATGTCTAACCCAAGAAGTAGAAGGGGGAACCTAGAGAAATGGACAAAGACAATGTTGAAGCCGGAAGAGTCGCCATAGTGGGTGAAGGATCCAATTTCGGCGAGAAGGGCGGTGGCGACTTGGTTGGTGAAGAGGCCAGTGTGGCGCCCAGATTCCAAAGACAAATCTTTGTAGAATGTCAATAGGTTTCTCGAGATTCTGGATATTTTCGATGGGAACGCTCATGAGGATTCTTATGTTAGGGTTTCTATAAAGGATGAAGGGAAGATTGGGAAGAAAATAAAAGAGACTATGTTTGCTAAGGAAAAACCGTTTGTGTTGGAAAAGGTGAGATTGTATGTACAGAGTATAGCGAAGGGTGATTTGAAGGTCAAAAGGGTGGAGACGAAGAGTAATCAATCGACTCCGCCTGCGGCAGCCATGAAGACTGCCCCTGCGATGTCAAAACCAGCAATGGTGGTGGAGAAGAATCAGAGCCATTGAAAAAAAAAAAAAAAAATCAGAGGCTAAACCAAAATAACTCTGATACCATGAGAATATTTGCTAAAATCACCTAAGTAAATGGTGTGAAAGTTATTTATTTATAATCAAATAAATTGCAATAATATGAAAATAGTAATAAATAAAAACAAAAATAAAAGGAAAGATACATGTGTGTAATGGAAGAAGATATTTGCCTATAATAAAAGATCAAATATAATATATATGGTAAAGTATAATTTAGAACTATCCATACCAACAAGTTACAACGTCCTTTTCGATAGCTCAACCATAAAAATTTCAAAATTAATAGTGATTTATTTGGACTAGACTTATGTTTGTTTGTGAGGATAACTTTCACCTTTTGAAACGAGAAATAAGTAACGTGGCCATGTCGTAGGGATACAAGATAATGTCGGGACCATCGTTCCTAAATTCGAATTTTGAATTAGGGCTGCATCGTTACATTTTTTAAGCTCATTTTAGCTTTGAATTTTAAGCACATTTTTTAAGCTCCTTGGTAGACAAGATCTCCAAGGACAAAGTCTCTAAGCAACAATGTCCATCAATAATTAAATTTATTTATTATGGCTTCTAGAAGTTTAGACAACGAAATGTATGGATAAGGCTTCTAGAATGTTTTAGGTTCACTTAACTTCGTTCTTGTCTTCTTTCTATAAAATTAATAAGCTTTGTCTGGAAGTAGTTATCAATTTTTTAAGATTAATCTCGTAATTAATTTAATCAAGTCCCAATTAATGAGAGAGAAAGGGTATTTGGGCCTTCATTCCTTTTAAAGGCCCATTTAGAAATCTCGCTCCATTCAAGATGGGTCCACATAGGCCCGAGGCATGAATGAAATACTACATACACATACATCTCATAAGAAATTCATGTCATGAAAAGTAGCGAGGTATTATGTGCATCATGACCCATGTACTACGATTTAAAATGTGCGACCTTAGGTACATTGAACGTCATGGACATGAACGACATGTTCACTACAATATGATATGCACACCTTTCTTTTCATTAGTTTTTCACATTGTGAGCGTGTGCTAACTCGTAGTCTGGTCTAAATGGTACATATTCGGGTCCAGCAAGTGAGTTCGTGTGTGTATGCGTGAACTATATGTAGAGAAATACTATGAATTCAACTCTATCCCGAAAAAAAAAAAAAACAACGTAAGAAATAGTCATGAAAAGTAGATCCGAACATAAACCATATTGAAGTAAACGTCTATTGCAAATCTCTCGAGAATCCCACATATCTAACATTTTTATAAAAAACAAAGTCGAGCATCTCTCCGTTGGCAACTTTTAGATACCTATTATCACATGCCATTCATTTTTATCCTTTATTTTAACTTCCACTATTGCTTTCTTTATGTCAAACTATATAAATATAAATATAAATTTTATATTTAAAAAGTTTCAATAATACATTTCTAACTTTTTTTTTTTTTTTTTTAGATATAAATAATTATTATTTTATTTTAAAATATTTTTATGGAATAACATTGAATTAGCAANTAGGAATTAATAAAAACATAAATAAAATAAAAAAAATTAAATTTAAAGACACAATGATTAAAACTTTATAAAAGTCGAGTGTGCTGCTAAATTTATAATTCAACTCTTATTTTAATAATAATAATAATAATAATACAAAACTTATATCCCTAATATAATTTGAAGTCGGCCAAATTATATAAAATTATTTAACCCACTTTATGTTATTTATTTAAATGGAATAAAAATTTGACATCCACTTAATAATATTCAAAACCATCATCATTATATATTTTTTTCTTTTAAATTTTTTATTGGAAAAAGAATATGATAAAAAGGACAAAGTGGGCACCATGCTCCATTTTAATTTATCATTATTATTATTAAAATAAAAATTAGTTAATATATAATATTTTAAAAAATGGTGTGTAACAGAATAACGTCATTTTAAAAATAAAATAAATTATTGCCCATAGCCCCATCAAATTATAAAATTATTAAAAATAATTAAAAGGAAGGTGAGTTGCAACCTCCTAATAAAGCAGGTGCAAATAATATATATTTTTATTAATATTTTGAAGAAAATGTTTAAAAAAAAAATTAAAAAAAATTTAAATTCTTGGATTGGACTCAAAGATTTCGGTGCGGATCACGTGCGCAAGGCAAGTCGGGCAAGTAAGCCACCAATAAGAAGATGGGAAAACGGAATTTTCAACGGTCAAACTTCAGGGTCACGGCTGACCGGTTTTGTCTTCGGTCAGCTTCTTTTACTTTTTTGTTTATTTATTATTTCTTCATCCATTTAGTCGACGTCATTTAAATTGGATAAATATTTTATCATTTTCGTAAAATATTTGTTTTAATATTATTTTTACTCTTTTTTTCATTAAATTTAATTTTAATTTACATATTTTTAATATATATTAAAATAAGAACAAAAACTAAAATGGAGCAAGTTAGAAAATACAAAAACTTGATATTTTAATATTTTAATTTTATTTTTTTTTATTTTTAGGAGAAATTCAAACCTTAAAATTAGGATGAAAATCAACAATTTTTTTTTAAATGTTGTTTCCATAATATTATGGGCTTGGTCGTTTAAATTCTCACGCAATTATTTGAAGAGTAATATTATAAAATTTTAAAAAAATATATTAAGATATTATTTTGAATTTCTATTTTAAGTTTTAGTTTATTTTATATATTTTTAATATATCTTCCAAATTAGTTCTTATTTTTTTAAAAAGATTTATAATTAGTTTATTGTTAAAATTTTCCAAAAAATATTTAATCTCTATTAATTCCCTTTATAAATCTTGATAAAAGTCCAAAATATCGAAATTAATATAGTATTTTAATTAATTTTTTTTAAAATGTAAAATTTGAATATTTTAGAAGGAATTTGTAAATACTAGTAAATTAATTTCCTTTGTAACCGTTATAATTTGTAAATACTCGATATTTGAATTTTATGAAATTATAGGCATTAATATAATATTTATAGTGGATAAATATAATTTTTAAAATAATTAAAAAATAAAAAACAATTGGACACCCCCACTGAAATGAAAGGTTAGGTAGTTGAGTCTTACGTGATTCCAGTACTCTTAAATTAACCAAAAACTAATTTTTATTTTAAATATTATTAATTGTGACTAATTTAAAAATTTATTGAGAAGAGATAAATATGTATGGATTAGAATAATAAAAAAGAATTAAGTTATAAACAAATTTAGCAATAATTCCCACTGAAAATTAAAAAATTAAAAAAAAATAATAAATAATAATATAATATGTGGGGAAAAATGTGTTCACGGAACATTATTGAAGACTTATCCAAACAAGACAAATGAGTTTTAAAGAGAGAGAATCAAATTGTCAAGTTGTCTTAAAGCAATGTATCCATAAAGTTTCCATTCTAAAATTAATTATTAATCTTATTTTCCTAAAATTAAAATCCACATTCACTATCATTTTTCTAATCATTTTATTTCATTTTTAAATTATTAATAAAATATAGATTCTTCTATAAGGAATAGAGACAGAGAATATAATTCTCATTTTTGTCACGGCTTAGTTAATGGAGAGAAATAAATAATTAAATAGACATTTTGAAGGATTAAAAAAAAGAAATAATGTAATCCATTTTTCCTAAAAAGAAAAAGAAAAAAAAAAGCGGCGATTTTATGGAATTAAACGGCGATGTAAAAGGGAAGTGGAAAACAGAGGTGACGCACATGCCGACAAACAACAAATGGCGTGTGAATCAGGGGTGGCGTCATCCTGATCCAAATCCCAATTTTCACACGTGATTAAATTCCTTCACACAACTTGCACATTTTTTCTGCACCTTCTCAGAAACCCCTTCCCCTCTTAAAACCACATCCGCTATTTATTTATTTATTTATTTATATATTTTTAAAAATAATATTTTATTTTTTAATGTTTAAAAAATAGTCCACATAGTTGAAGTTCATGAATCTCCTTTGCTTATTTATAGCTTTCCTATCCCCAAATCTTCAGTTTCATTCAGATTTACATCTCTCTCTATCTAAAAAAAAATTTGATTTTTGGTTCAAATTTAGAAATGATGTACGGACAGAGTAATAGCTCTGAATCGGATTTTGTTCTTCTCGAATCCATACGCCGCCATTTGTTGGTAGATTCTGACTCTCTCCGATGTGGGAATTTCGCCGTCGCTGGAGCCACCGCCCCTGTTTTCTGCCGGACCTCCAGTTTCGGAAGCTTGTACCCTTGTTTGACTGAAAAATGGGGTGCTCTGCCTCTCAGAGAGGATGATTCCGAGGACATGGTTCTCGCCGGAGTCCTCCACGACGCTGTTCAGTTCGGCTGGGTTCCCTCGCTTGGATCTTCCTTGCCGGAGACTTTCAATTTTGGTTTCTCCGATGTCAAGCCTGAGCCTGAGATTCTCCCGCCAGTGAACATCTTGCCGGAAGTTATCGAGACGAAGGTGGCGGTGGCAGTGGCAGATCCGTTGCCGGCGGTTGTTCCTGGGAAGGGGAAGCATTACCGGGGAGTCAGGCAGCGGCCGTGGGGGAAGTTTGCGGCGGAGATTCGTGATCCGGCGAAAAATGGGGCTCGGGTTTGGCTTGGGACATTTGAGACAGCGGAGGATGCAGCGTTGGCTTATGACCGAGCCGCTTATCGGATGCGCGGCTCTAAAGCTCTTCTTAATTTCCCGCTTCGAGTTAATTCTGGTGAACCCGACCCGGTTCGAGTGACGTCGAAGCGGTCGTCGTCCCGGTCGTCACCGGAGCCCACTTCTTCGTGTACGTCGGTGGAGAGTGGGTCCCCTAAGAGGCGGAAGAAGACAGACGGCACGACAATGCCAACGGCTCAAGCTGCGCCGGAGTCGATACAATTAGGGGAGGGGACCAATGCAATACAAGTGGAAACTGACGTGGCAAAGTACACATGTGGCGAGCAATGATTGGATGAGTAATGATAATAGTGAGAAAGGAGCATTATTGTAATTATATTTTTTGAGACCATATTTTAGGTATATGATTGGTAGATTTTCTTTGGGATTTTTCAAAAATATTAAATTTCCCAAAAAAAAAAAAAAAAAAAAAAAAAAAAAAAAAAAAAAAAAAATCTAACAAATGGCAGTACCAGCGGCAGTAGCAGCAAAGGAGGTTGAGGGGAAGGAAAGGGAGAGGAAGGGGAAGGGTAGAGACTAGAGAGGAGAGTCTTTTTAAAAAACATATATTCAACAAATTAATGGTATTCAAAGAGATACCAATAAGACCACATTTTGCATCAATAAATTTGAAAGTTTCTTTGCATAAACAAAGAGGTATGTTTTTAAATCGTTTCCAACCTCCATTGCTTCCAACCATCTCAATCCTACCATGCTTTATAGTACNAAAAAAAAAAAAAAAAAAAAAAAAAAAAAAAAAAAAAAAAAAAAAAAAAAAAAAAAAAAAAAAAAAAAAAAAAACAGGTGTATAATGGGTGGTTGGATTTGCTAAAGCAAATTTCTTCATTGTTTTTTTTTTTTTTAAAAAAAAATCCCTTTGAATTAAAATTTTCTATTATTTTCTCTCTCCTAACCAAATATTAAATTATTTAATTTGGAACTTAATTTAACCCATTAAAATTAATTCATCGATTTAAATAATATAAATTTATTTCTTAATAATTAAAATAAATAATTTAAAATTGAGAAATCAAACTAAAATGGGATGGCATTCTTTTAAGGGCAAGCATTTATTTTAAGTAAATAATAATAATAATTATTAATGTTTTGTTTGTTTTTTTTTAAATTATTATTTTTTTTTAAAAAGGATAATAGTGTGAAAGGAGAATATATAAAACGTGTTAAATAAAAACTCTTTTAACAAATAACACTCGATAAAGTCAAGTCTCCCACCACATTTAGTTGACTTTCAAAACATTGACTGTTGACTTTTTTTTTTTTTTTTTTTTTTTTTTCATTTGCACTGGTTTTGTTTAAACCGCTCACAATTAAATTAAATATTGTGTTTCAATCCCTTTACTTCACATAAAATATCATTTTAATTTTTTAAATCTCAATTATTAATATTCTCATAATCATTTAACCAAATTTCAAATTTTTTTAATGTCTAATATTTTAGGTTCAATTAGTTTCCATTTCTTTCTTTTATACTTAAATACATAATGTATCAATTAAGCTTGACTTTCATATGCTTAGACTATTTTCTACTATGTTTGACTATTTGGGAGACGTTTTCAACACTTTTTGAGGCGTTTAAGGTTAGTATAACTATTGTTCAGCTAATTTAAATTTAGATTCTTTTATACAAAACAAGTGAGCCAATTTTCATAAGTAGAATTCTAAGTTATGACCGTGGGACTGTTTAGGTAGAATTAGATTTCAAGGAGTAGTTTTAGGCTGACAATAAAGGAGCATAGTAACTTCGACTTAGGCCAATCAAGTAAGTGATTCTACTATTGGGTTCATTGGACGAATTTTATCATATATGATGACACATGTTTCGTGGCCCCTACATGTATCATAATTATGTTTAGTTATGCTATGTTGTGTTATGCCATGTTTATAAACTATGTTATAATATGATTATTTTATGTTGTAGGATCATGTTTACAATGTAGATAATCTATGATACATAAACCTCCCTACACCATATAAACTATGTTAAGAACGAAAGATTTGACGGAAATTATGTATGCATGATTCATAGATCCGTTATGTTGTTACTGAATGGAGTTTTGACTTGTATCATAAACTCTTGCCATGAGTTTAAGCTATGAGAACTTCATGCATTTTTGTGTGTCATATGCATCAGACTATTTCTCTATTATGATTGGTACGAACGTGTATGATAAGGAATCAACCCAAATGATATGGAATCACTATAATGGTAGTAAGATTCAAATTACCTTACTGACCGAATATCTCAAGGCAAGAACACTTGTTTGAGATTTAAATCACTGCACAAGCAAGATCGATCATGTCAAGCTTGAATGATTCTATCTACATGCAACCTAAACTACGTAGAATTGCAAAGAAACTTAGCCATTAGCTAAAGGAAAGCATAAATGCTCATTTTACTACATTTTTCAAGTCTCATTTACGAAGATAAGACTTTATATAACCTTAAAATGAAAATCTTGACCTTTCATCAGACATTTCAAGAGTGTGTAACTTTCACATTTTATGACCTTAATTAGCTACTATGTTATTTTACGACTATAATTAGCCACTATGTAAATGTAACATTAAAGTAAATAACTTTTTTTAAAATACATTAACTTTAAATTATCATCCATCGTAAACTTGTAGTCTTCTGAGAATAAATGAAGCCCCACTTGAAGTATCTTGAAACTTTTGTTACATAAATGAAACTTGATTCTTCTGAATATGACATTAATATTGCATGATTGAGATACCTTAGTTCATATCAGTGTACCTTACGACATTTATGTTTACCATAATGTTATGCATGCCCTTTTGCTACATGGTGTCCTGTAGCGTGAGCATGCACTAGCTCGATGAGCCAGACCCAGAGTACGTATATGAGCTCACTTGGTGGGTCTATGTGCACGTGAGAGGACCGTGAGTAGGAAAGTACTACACATTCAACCTTGTCCGAACTTGAAAGCAGCCTAAGATTATGACATGAAGTTTTGATGAGGATAGGTCCCTCTATATTTATTTATTTATTTGCATTTTTGGACTCAAACAATCAGGTTACTTATTGACTATTTCTTAAAATACTCAATTTATGTGCAATTCTTATTTTTTAGATAAAGAACATCGCGATAAAGACTGAACCAGAGTTGGGGTAGCCTCGTTTATGTCATTTTGGTAGCCCTTAAGTTAGATTAGACCTTGTTTTATTTATTTAAACTCCCGTCATTCATAGTTTGTCTTCTTATTTCATGACAATGTAATTTTAAAGAATATATCATGCTGGCCACCCTATTCTTAAATAGGAAAATATGGTTACGACAGTAATAAAAAAATTATGCTGATTCGGGTTGGGTATACTATATTTAATTTATAACGGAACCCTGCCCTTAACCCATTAACAAAAAAGAAAAAAATAAAAAGATAAGGCTATTCCATTTCGACAAAAGACCCACACCCAAGTTCCATAGCTTTGGGTCCGCTATCCTGATCATGATTTTTCTACCCCCAGAGGGAAAAGTCCTTCCCTTTTTGGCCGGTTGTGGGCGAGGAGGGATTCGAACCCTGACACCATGGTTCGTAGCCGCGTGCTCTAATCCTCTAAGCTACAGGCTCCACCCCGTTTCTACTGGATCTGTTCCCGAGGTATCTTAAGAAAGGAACCTTTCCTCTCCCCAGCCATTTGTCATTTCGAGTTAAGAAGATGTGAAAACGCCTCTATTAGTCACATCTATTAACCACGTCACATCTATTAGTAAATTTGTAAATTCGTAAAATTTTTAAAAATATTAAACACGGTCATATCTATTAATCACAAACTTAAAAATTTAGAAATAAAGTGAGAAAATATACACAAATTTAAATACTAAAAAACGTATAAAATATTTTTAAAAATTAAGTGATAAAACAGACACAACACAAACAAAGTACGAGGTAGATTGTCTACCTACCATGTTGTCCATAAATATTTTCTCATATTATTCGTATTAGATATATTACTTTATTATCTAATGGTCAAATTTATTTATTTTAATTGGAAATAGAATAATACTAAAGTGGTACCAACCATTTTTCTTTATTTTAGTTGAAAATTTAGAAAAAAGTGAAATTAGTTGTCATTCAAAAGTTGAATCTATTTCCGCTAATTTCTATAAAAATAAATAAGTTTGCCATTTTGCACGTGAAACTTATTGCCCTAAAAAAAAAAAAACTAAAACTTTGAAATTTTGCCACTCAAAATAATAATAATAATAATAACTTTTATAAAATGAAAATATTATTGGTCCTTCCTACATTGACTAATAATATAAATATATTCTTTATTCTATTTGTTCGCTAAACTTTTAAAAAATTTATTTTAATTTTTAGACTTTTTCGAAGGGGCAAATTTTGACTTTTATTTTGTTGAGATTTTTTAAAGGTCAAAACAATCAAAATATTATTTTATTAACTTTGAAATACAAAAAAAACATATTTTATCCAATAAGACCTTAAACTTTCCTGTAAATTTTGAAATAGGTAAAATTGATCCATATTCTAATTAAACATAAAATAAAAGATTTAAAAATTTATTGGACATAAAATCGAACAATTATTAGTAACTAAACATTTGCATACTAAATAGCTACAAACCTCCCAAATTTACGTAATTTAATTTATAAAAAATACAAACAATTCTAAAATGAGTTATAAATTTGTACCCTTTCAAAGCTATGTTGAATCATCAAAATCGAAAAGCAGAAGAAAAAGGGTCAATGTATATATCAGCTGAGCCCCCACCTGGGTGTGTATAGATATATATATATATATATATATAAATGCTTCTAGAAGGATTTGAGTTTCGAGGTAATTTCCGACCACCATTTAGGTTCAAAAGTAAAAGGTTCATTGCACGTGAAGGAATTGTGGGGTCTCCGGGGGACCACATGGTTTGAATTCTTATCTTCCACTTTTGATACATATGCAAAAAGAACGACTTTTCGCCATTTTGAACTATTGATTCAAAAAAAAGTGTATTAATTTGGAGAAACTAGTAAAGAGAGTCAATCGTAACATTATAGAACTTAAGTTAGTATTCTTGTCGTGAAGGTTAGTTGAATAGAAATGTACTCTAATATGCACCCGGCTAAAGCTAAATAATTGACGAACAAGAATGGATGATCTAGTTAAGCTAGGTACTATGTCCTATTTACAGGCCATAAGATGGTATAATGATATTATCTATAGAGGGTGCTAGTAAGCATGAATCCTAAGTCGTATATTGACTACTTTCCATCTTGCTTTAAGATGTGTAAAGTGATTTTTCAAACATGATTTTTAAACATAGTTATACTGTGAACATATCTTAAACAGTCATCTACGTCTGTTTTGGCAGGATTTGTATTCCCATTT